CATTCGATATCACCTCCAATGCATTTACATCCTTCTTTAAATACTGATGCACAATGCTTTCTGTGCTTGGTACAAGCAGAATGCCAGCAATGCAGTGTCACCTACCCGCTCCGTCACTGCTGCAGATGTCAGATTGGGTTGACTCTCAGGAAAACCAAAGACAGTGATGGACCCAGATGGAGTACCCCGCTCTGCACTCAGATTCTGTGCAGACCAACTGGCGGTGGTATTCACTGACATATTCCATCTCTCTCTCCTACAAGCCAAAGTCCCCACCTGCTTTGAGAAGACCACCATCATCCTGGTACCTAAGAAAGCACGTGCAACGTGCCTTAATGGCCAACACCCAGTGGTTCTGGCCTCCATAATCACAAAGTGCTTCGAGGCTGGTTATGGCCCACATCAGCTCTAGCCTCCCAGCCTGCCTCAATCCCCTGCAATTTGCCTACTGACGTAACAGATCCACAGCAAATGCCATTTCCCTAGCCCTGCATTCATCCCTGGAATATCTGGACAACAAAGACACCTATGTCAGACTCCCACACATCGGCTATAGCTCCATCTTCAACACCATAATCCCCTCCAGATTGATCTCAAAACTCCAAGAGCTGAGTCTCAGCACTGTCCTCTGCAACTGGATCCTCAGCTTCCTGACTTACAGACCACAACCAGTGAAGATAGACACCTGCACCTCCTCCACGATATCCATCAACACTGGAGTCCCCCAAGGATGCATTCTCAGCCCCCTACCGTACTCCCTGAACACCCATGACTGAGTAGCCAAATTCCAAACAAACACCATCCAAAGGTTTGCTGACGACACCACCATGGTCGGACGGATATCAAACAACAATGAGTCACAATACAGAAAGGAGATGGGGGCTTGGGGTCATGGTGCAATGATAGCAACTTCTCTCTCAATGTCAGCAAAACAAACAAACTGATCAATGGCTTCAGGAAGAAAGGATGAGAACACGCCACAATCTACATCAATGGAGCAGAAGTTGATGGGGTTGACAGCATCACGTTCCTAGGAGTGACGATAACAAACCTCCTGTCCTGCACTTCCCACATAGATGCAACGGTCAAGAACGCACAGCAACACCTCTTCTTCAGGTGGCTTATGAAATTCAGCATGTCCATAACGACCCTCACCAACTTCTACAGATGCACCATAGAAAGCATGCTATCCGGGTGCATAACGGCCTGGTATGGCAACTACTCTGCCCAGGAACATACAAAACCACAGAAGGTTGTGTGCATAGTCAAGACCATCAGAAGCCAACCTCCCATCCATAGACTCCATTTACACATCTTGTTGCTGCAGAAAAGCTGCCAAAGACCCCAACCATCCCAGTAAAGCTCTCCTACAACCTCTTCCACCAGGCAGAAGATACAGAAGCTTGAACACACACACACACACACACACACACACCCCACAGGTTCAAAACAGCTTCTTTCCTGCCATTATTTGAAGTTAGAAAGTCCATTCAGTCTAATAATGTTAATCTTGTTAATGTGGATATTGCTTTGCACATCTCCTGTGCAGTATAACCTCAGCCTCACTTGTCTAAGCACCATATGATCTATATGTCCTTGCTTGCTGTGATCTGCCTGTGCTCCTCACAAATAAAGCTTTTCACTGTACTTAGACACACATGACTACAATAAATCAAATCAAATAAGGCTAAAACTGCACAGTAACATGATTACATCTTAAACAATTTCCCGTATTGCTGGGTATAACATCTTTATAATTCATCTCATAATAGATAATATTCTTTTGGCCTTCATAACTATTTCATGTATAAGCATATTAAATTTGTAACATGCACTTAGAACACCTGGATCTCTCTGCACCTTGGAATTGCAATACTTTTTAAAAAAATTCTTCCTGCCAAGGTGAACAATTTCACTTGTCCCACATGACACTCCAGCTACTAGCTTTTTGCCCACTCACTCAACCTATCTATAATTGGCCTGCACACATGTCCTCTTCATTACATAGTTTCCTATCTATATGTCATCTGCAAAGTATGACATCATGCTGTCACTCCTTTCAAAATAACGGATACAAAAATTGTTAAGAACTGAGAAGCCCCAGCACAGATCCCTGTGGGACTCCAGTTGTCATATGTTGCCAATCAGAAAAAGACCCATTTACGCATACTATTTTCTCAACCATGTTTATATGTTACCCCCACTCTATAAATGTCCCATTTTGCAAAATAACCTTGTGTGGCATCAAATCCTCTCTGGAATTCAAGTACAGGACATCTACAGGTTGCCCTCTATCCTTGTTAAATAAACAGGAAGAGGTATTGTTACCATAATCTTACCAGACCAAATGGCTACTGTCATTTAACCAGAGGGTCACCATGCCTCAGGAGAGGGGACAGGTTGAGAAGGAGAATTTTTATGCTAGCCTCAGCTAGCGTGGGAAATTGAATCGGTGACACTCCATTGCAAACCACCCATATCCGCTTATTAGTTCAAAGAATCCATTGAATTGGTCAAACTATTTCTTTTTCAGAAAACTAATGATTATAGTCCAGTTATAATCTTCCTAATGATTGAGTCAAACACCTTGACAGCAGATGCCAAACTAACGGCATACAGTTTCCCCATTTTCAGACTACATCCCTTCTTGAACACAGGAGTTATATTTTCTACTTTCCAGTCTAATGAAACCAATACAGAATTCTAGTGAGTTTTCGAAAATTAACACCACACATTGTTATGGCACCTGGATAGCAGGCCAAACCATATCAGCCTCACAATCACTAAATTCACTAATCCACAACAGTGAAATTAAAACATTCAACAACTCTTAAATTTGCTCAATTGTTTCTAACCAGATTTTAATAATAATAGATCTTGGTCACCAAGATCATAACTTAAAAATTGTTATTAATAATGTAACTTTGATACAACACAAACAAGGCAATCTAATTAATATCTGTAATCTGAGCTCAATCTTTGAAGATAAACCCCCACTCTCAGACTGACTGACTGACAGACAGAATTAAAGGGATAAATTGAAAAGGACAAAAACAAGTATCATAAATTTGCCAGTTTACTAACTGATTCAATGGTGAATACCAGGCCTTCATGAAATCCTTGGACAATGGGTTGTATTACAGGCAAATAAGAATGTATGTCTTGCTGAATTCTGAAATTCCCCATCAATGCAATCAGCCTCAGCAGACTTCCAGAATTATTCACCCCTTCTTACCATCGGGATTCTTTTCTCAGAACATTCAACAAGTGAATTACTGGAATGCAACAGAGAACAAAAGAAAAGCAGCACTGGCTCGAAGCTTTCAAAACACAAAATTGGCTGCTGCTGAAAGCCTAGTCAGAAGCAGTAAACTCCAAGCACTTGTCCTCTTGATTGACCAATTCAACATCCAACCAATTTGGCAGTTTCTAAACTCAGCAACAAACAGTAATTAACCTGTATTATCTTTACAGGCCAGTTCCCAATTGCAAACAGCTGTTTTTTTAAAAAAAAAAGCTGCTGTTCAAAGTTCAACTCTCAACAGTAGCTCGGTTCCAAATCAAAAATGAGAAAGCTCAAAAGGAAAATATAGTCATCTCAAAATTATGTACCTCATTAACCATATCTTTTAAGAACCTGAGACCTTCAGGACACGCGGACTTATCAGCCCATAGCTCCATCTGTTTGCCTATACCGTTTCCCCAACAATTTGATTTCACTCAGTTCCTCTCTCCCTGTCACTTTGTGATTTACAGCTATTACAAGAATGTTTTCTTAAATCCTCCGATATTAAAGTCAGATTACAGCAGCGACCACATTTCAAGCAGCAAGTACAATGTTGGCTATAAAGCATGTCAAGACACCCTAATGTTATAAGAAGAGAGATAAACATTTATTTATTTATATTTATTTCTTCAGTTCTCACAGTCTATAGGTCTAATTGGTGAAAGGATACAAGGAAAGGGTTGCACTGGTGATGAGGACGACGACGACGACGGAGGACAGTGTTCATGACGATTAGGGGGGTTATTGTTTAAAGGATTTGTAAAACAAAGATTAGAAGAGATGGCAGTGATTGTAGATCTATTATATATCTATACTGGATTCCTTACTCCCATCACTGGAACTAATTTAGATTTGATATCTAAGAACATAATGAAATAAACTGCTATCTGTTACTGCTTGTGGTACGAGGGAACACTATTTACAACCTTAACTCAAAAATTGATCAGCTGAGTGGCAGGTTCCGATTGTGTGAAATTGACCGGAAAGTGATGAGATATTTTTGTTTTAAAAATACACTTTAGAGACTTTCAACATCAAAAGTCCATAATTACAGCATGAATTTAAGTGCTGCTTGGTTTTGTTTATGCAATACTTCAACACTTGAACACAAATAGAGAGTTTTGTTTTCAACAATTTTCACAGCTTGGCATTTGCCTCAAACAGAATATTATTCAAACCCTTGTCCAGATTATCATATTCCACAGGCCCAATCTCTCCTAAATCAGCCCCTGGCTCAGCATCAGCTCTTCAAACCTCAAACACCTGGCATCTGTATGCCACCTCACAACCTCCACTCTGTTCTCTTCTCTACATCCTCTATGGTCCACCTCATCTGACATGGCTCTTCTACTGTCTCCCTCTCTTTCCCCTTATGTTCCACACCTTGTCACTCTCCCAACCTGTTGGGCAGCTATTGGGGATATCATGCTCTCTTACCCAAGGTCTGCTTTCCTTCTGCTCTAACCTTTCTGGTAGTTCCTTAGCTATTCTGACTCTCTGATATACCCAAATCTCACCGACTCTGCCAAAAGCTTCTCTGCCTTGTTAGGCTTGCCTACTCCTGCTAAAACCCCTTTAAAATCCACTTCTCCAACCACAAGTCAGGAAATTAAACAAATTTAGTGGAATAAAAACAGAGCCATAGGACTTAAAGCAACAAAAGGGTCAGGACAATAAATTAATTTGAAAAATATAAAATTTTAATAAAGGCTACATCTCTGAATATATACATAATTATTGTACCAAGGACTCTTAAATCAAACTCTTTTGTAATGCATAATTTACAGAAAGGAGAAGAAAATGGCACAAAACATGGTTGCAACACTCAAAAAAAACGCATACAAAATATCTTTGTACATAAACCCTTCTTAACAAAGGGAGATGTGACCCTCAAAGCAGGGTGAGACACAGTATTAATAATACCATGCAGGCACAGGTACTGTACAGGATAAACAAGAAACACTAGTAGTAGTGTGTAAAACTTTAACAATTTTTACACAGTTATCATACAAATTATGTCCAGCAGTGTGGCAAAGGTCAGAATGATAGAGTGCGTAGGATGGGAAGGGTTGATACTGGGGTCTGGCCCCTTAACAAGACATGTATGTTAACCGTTTACAAGAAAACACCACATGCAGTAATTTCTACCTCAGTATGTAAAATTAAATCTTCCCTTCAAACTATTAATTTAATCCTACAATGAGGTGCAACTGGCAGTAGAGAGAGAAAAAAAAACAATCCATCCTTGCTGGAATCTTGATATAATTCTACAACATTTAAGTTTGTATATGGTTCTCAGTGTCTGAAAGTGGAATTTGTGGGACTGAGCCTCCAGGCAAATGGCAGAGTGTAAATTTCAGTTTTATAACGGATCACATTCCCAATATGGGTTTTCTTTCTCTCTCCAGGTGATAAGTTAATAAATTTGCCACCCCATTTTCAGCTCTCTCTATTTCAAAATTCTCTTTGGAGATTGAGAGTTTAAATTGCATATGTGAGATTTGTGACTTTTTCACCAATGCATTGGTGAGAAGGTCTATTGCTGCTACTTTTATACATATTAAGCTGTTGATTCTAAAGGAGTTTATTGTTGATGTTATGCAATACAATTACAACCCATGAAGTTGAACAGAAAACAAAAATCAACTCCAATCCTGATGTCATATAGTTGTGAGGCGTTGATTGTTTATGCCAGTGTCGCTCTAGGAGGAAGCTCTCTGCTGGGAGCAGAGTTTGAATCAGGGTTGGGACTAGGCAGCTGCCACACTTGTCCTCCATTGATGACACATCTGAGTAGGCCAAAATCTACAATATCTGCACACTCACTCACATTACAATCCACATCTACATCACTGTAGTAGCTTTTAAAGTGTTAGAGTGGGAACAGGAAAGGGAGGGGATGGTGTGTTGGGGACGAAGGTGCAAGATTTCTGTGGATTTTCCTGGATTTGAAAGGCACTAGGCTCCAATGTAAATGCTGAATGGAAAATTGACAAGGCAGGACTGGTTGCCTCTTCTGCCAGACCATTAAGACTTGGTGATAGTTCCGGTACAGATACAAAGCAGTGTTACATTAAGACAGTCACTTGTTTCAGAGAAAATTCACAGCCAGCTTCACAATTTCACTTTAAATACACCAGAGAATGATAATTGTTATTATCATTAGTGTTATTGGAAAAGGGGAAGAACTGTCAGTACCGTCAAAGAAGGGAAAAGAACTGTCACAAAGAGCAGCAGTTGCTGGTACTAGTGGAAAAGTATAGCTTTTCCACAACTCAAATACAATAAATAGCAGGACGTGTCATTGAGCATGGACTATACACAGTATCTGTTCATATACAGAGTCCCTCAGGAAGCCACAGGATATCCACGAATACCTGGATGTCTGTAAATAATCAATAGTGGTCATTCTTATACAATGAAGCTCAGTATTTTCATATAAATATTTTTATGATCTTTACATCCTATGTAAGGCAAACATCACTACAGCTTCAAGCCCGAATTCCAGTACCTCACAGCTTATTTCATCCTTCTATAATTGTTCATAATTTGAATGCTGTTAAAATGCCAGAAGTCTGTTGATTTTAGTCCTTTTTAAATGATCAATCGATTCGTTCCACTTTTCCCAAGATCTTTCCCTCATACATGGGCAGTGTGCTATCGTCACTCTGAACTTCTTCAAAAACTGCCCCACAGTCAAACTCATTGCTGGCTCGTTTGAAATAATACCTGTAAGAGAAACAGTAGTTAGAACAAAAGAAGCAAAAGGGGGGCAAAGAGAGGGAATGGGAAAAAGAGAAGGGTACTAGATAGAGGAAAAAAAAAGGATAATATCTTGGGTATCATAATCTTCTGAACATATCTGTACCATTGCTAAGTTTGCCTGATTCTGTCCCACCACAAGTCATCCATGTCCTTATTTAACTATTCCAGTGCATTCTTGGGTGATCTACCATAATCGACTGAGATCTGGGAAGTTATTTAGCACTCTGTTCTTTCTTGCACAAAATCCCATTCATCTATCACTCATCACATACATTGGATCCCAAACCTTTCAATATTTATTTTACAGCCCAAAAACCCTTAGATATCTGTATTCGTTGAATTTTGGCCTCTTGAACACCCACTGGTTTCTGTGGGTGGAGATTTTTTGTTTGATCACAATTGGCGATTGGGAATGTCTCAAATTTTAGGAAGTGCTTTTATTCTCAAGCTTCTGCATCAAGCTTGAATGCATATCCTCAACATGTAAAATCAGTCATGAACTGACACAATAGGCCAGCATTTTAAAATGCAATATAAACAACTACATTAAAACGTTCCAGAAAAATTTAAGAATACTGACTTGATGCAGTTTGATTAATATTGCTGGAAATAGGTTTTATCACCAAAAAGAATTTTAATTAGCTCTAGTCCATGTGATCTACTCAATCAAATCAGTGACTAATGTGATTTAACTATCTTAAAATTAAACAAAAGCATTTACTAGTTACATTAGGGGATAGTGGTCAGCTTTAGTAAATCAACATTACATTACAAGTGTTTGAAAAGATTCTACTTAGTATTCTAGCATCCAAGCAACTCACTTTAAAATATAGAGCTTCTGAGGTCCTACGGGAATAATTTGATGGTGTTTTAGGTATGTGGCAAATTTAATAGGTGGGATAGCTTTCAGCGGGGTGCTTTTAAAAAAAAAATCACAAAACCTCTGATTGCACAGCATGTAACCTGTACCTGAAGATCCCATGAAATCCTAAACCAGTTTGACCAAATTTGGGTGAATTGCCTTGAACAAAAAGAAAACAAATGAGTGGAAACTCCAGGCCAGTGTGCATTTTTATCCCCCTCTAGCAGGTTGATGCTGGTGTCTCAAGATGCTAAGAATACCCTTTCATTGAACCAACATCAGCCTCTGATAACACTGCATTAATAAGCGTGATTTACATAAATCAGTGATACAGCTTTGTACACATCTGTAGGAACAGAGGGAATGAAAAATACCTAGGCAGATCTCATTAAATCAAAGAATTTGACAGCTGACCTGCTTGCCTCTCATCTCCAAGCTCAAGAAAGAAAAAAAAAATCAAAGAAATTGGCTTCAAAGAGTTGCTTATTTCACAGGCCTTAAAAATAGCAAACACAAAATCAAGGCCAGATGTTGAGGAAAGTGGTGAGCACATAGGTCAATTCCAGGCCCTACACTCAGCTGTTTCTCTGGAGTCACCTGCACCATCACACCCAGTCTAAACCAATTCGCAAAACAATGCTGGAAGAAAAATGCACGAACATAGAATAATGGGGCAGAGATTTTTCATTATGGAGTGAGACAAGGGCCCACTGTGGGGAAACTTAAGGAGTTTAAAAATTATTATGTCAATATTACCTTTATCATAGCCAAACGTCCCAAGGAACTCTCAGGAACAATTATATGAAACAATGTTTGACACCAAGCCACATAACGAGATACTAGCACAGGTGAAAATGGTAAGTTTAAAGGAATGTCTTCAAGGAAGACAGTGAGAGGTAGAGGTGCAGACAGGCTTGGGAAAGGAATTCCAGCTACTGGCAGCTGAGGGCACAGCTGCCATTGTGGACTGAATAAAGCCGAGGATGTACAGAAGGTCAAAATTGGAGGAGTGCAGATATATCAAGATATTAACCTGGAGGAGGTTTAGAAACAGACGGGAACAAGCCATGAAGAGATTTGAAAACAAAGATGAAAAATTTAAATCCGAGACAACAGTATACCAAGAGCTCCTTTAGTTGCACACCAACAACTGATTAAAAAGGACAAGCCAACATAACTCTGAAGATTAACCTCCTCACAGCTACAGATGGCTTCAAAACCCCATCAGGAAAAGCCAGAAGAACTACATACATTCAATGGCACAACAAAATCTCCTACACCTCTCCTTCCTCAGTCATTCCCTGGCTAACCCAGATCTCAAATCCCAACATTGGGCATTGCTATACCTGTAATTTCCTTTCTTACTGAGCTGCTCCTTAAAGTGAGCCAGGGTCAAGCTGTGACCTTTCATCATCCTCCGGTATGGAATGTCCTCTCCGCAGAAATAGTAAGTGACAACCAACTCACTGCATGGAGCCAGGTTCACAGGTACTGCTTGCTTCTTTGCTGTTTTGTGCCTGTGGAGACAGATGTGACAAAAATAAATCAAGTCAGTGGCATCAAAAGCCAAGAAGAGGAGGTGCAGTTTTCCAACAGAGAACAGAGTCTCAGATAGGGAGAGGTGTCGTAGACCTTGTCTGACCAGAACAGTGCCCAATTTGCTGATCCTAGCCAGGTCTGCCAATGGGATGAGAGACATTTTCAGATTAGGGTGAGGGGGTTAGAATTCTGGCAGGCTCACTGCTTCATGGGTCTCTGATATTTACAGGTGTGTCTACTGTGTGGGGAACAGAATCTTTCACTGTTCTAATATTGTCTTCTGCCTTGCCTGAACTTTTAGAAGGAACATCTGCTTTACAAGATGACGGGGGTCTTGATCCCTTTGAGAAGGAGTAGGATTTGGAGACGGGAAATGTCACGTGTTGATTTTCTGTCACATCACGCAACCAACAATGTGTGATTGGAGCCATGTGTCTCCCAGTGGTCAGTTCAGGCTGATGTCTGTTCATTAAACCTGCTTAAACTGGAGAACAGGAACAGGCAGAGAAAACTGCACAGCAGCAACATTTACTTGCAGGATTCTCAAACAGTAGCTGATAAGTGGTGGGGTTCATGCCATTCAGAATGCAGACAGGTACTAACTGAAGAAAACATCGAGATAGTGTTTCCAAATCCAGGAAACACCTACTGAATTTAAGTGGAAATCAGTTTGTGTAAAAGGCTGTGGAGCCAAGCGGCAGAAACTCCTGAATTTAATGTTAATAAAGTGAGAAGAGAATGACAAGCAGTTTGTGTAGTTAAGAAATTGCTAATGTTTTGGTGAAACCATGATTAACTCAGGAATCACTGTCAGATTTGGCTCTCCCGTTCAGCAGTGATTGTTTTTGAGGGGTGAAATTCACACAATTAGATCACAGGGCTTGGGCAATCCAGTATTTCAACTTCAACTTTCAGGGAATTTTGTGGCAAAATTAAGCTTATCCAGTGAAGAATAAAAAGCCACCTCTGGTGGCTGACTTCAAAACAAACTCACTCATTGCCACAGATGGAAGGACAGAGACAGATACAGACAGCTGAATGGTTATTATTTTGGTCTTGCTATCTCAGGTCTATTCTCCCTTTCCATGCATTCTGGCTCTATAATTAGTGAGAAGAAAGCAGCTACTTTATTTGCACCCTGTACACCACTCAAACAAACGCTCATTCCCTCTGCCAAAGAGGCACAGTGGCAGGCAATATGCATCACCATCAAGGCTTTGAGACAATCCCTTCCAAAACACACAACCTTGACAATCAAGGAGTACAAGAGCAGCAATTACTTGGGACTGCAAATTCCACCTGCAAGTTCCCCTCCAAGCCATCACCATCCTGATCAATAATCCTGTTAAGCTGCATGGCTGCTCCAAGAGTTTGTACACATTAGCATCAGCACACTGATTGCAGCATTGACTTCTGTTTCCAGAAATCATTGCCACTCTCAGACCTCGGAAGCCTGCACAACTGGAAAAACCTTAGAAGGAACGTTGATCCTGATGTGGAAATACAATCAGCGATCCTTCATTCTCACTTGGTAAACCTCCTACAACTCCCTGTGCTAACACCTTTGAGGATGTACCTACGCCATACAGACCTCAGTGGTTCAAGGTAGTGGCTCACCATCACCTTAAGGGCAATTAAGGACAGGCAATAAGTGTGGCCCAGCCATTCATCTATGAGATGTGGGTGCAATGAGTTAAAGATATTCTAACCTCACTCCTCACATTTTACTATCTTCCCTGAATAGGGAAATTAAAACAAGGACTTGCAGCAAAACAATCTTTTTCTATCAATACATATTGTTCTGTATTGTAACTATTGTAACTACTTATTTTTTACAGTTATAGTTTAATTGCTGTGGACATGGAGACAAGGTGTTAACTGCAAAAAGCAGATAACGGACAAACACAGGTTAAGATTTCCTTCCTCTCAGCTGCCATATTTTTAATTTTTCAAGGTGTGAGAAACTTGTTAAAAGTCCTTTGCCATTCCCTTCACCATAGTGTCTTACTGCAAATGTGGATTAGTGAGAATTGTGCAATGGTCAGTGAATAATGTCATGCCAACGTATAAAACATTCATCCACTGCTAACTCCAGTAGTGACTCTTGTCTCGTGTTAGCACATTGCACTCCAGTGGCCCTAGTTTGAAAGCTTACTAGCAGCCTGGACTCCTCCTCCAGTGCCTTTTACTGGTAACAGGATATCAGCTGAGACTCAGCTACAATGCTGTCATGAGTTAAACAGCAGCCTAAGGACCAGTGATATAAAAGTGGACTAGACCTGTGTTCATGATCAGAGCTGGACCCCAACACATCAGCCTCGACTGGAAAGGAAAGGGCAGTAAACGACAAAAAAATTTCTTTGAATTCAGAATTCAGATCTCCTCAAACTGGGGAGCACAGAACGAGTTACTTACTCTTCTGTAGAAGTGAGGAAACCAGTATTGGACAGAGACTGGCTCATTCCTTGTGATTGAGTTCCGTGATTTCTGTCTCGCTGTAAACTTGACGTTGAGTATCTGAGAAACAATAAAAGACAATGTCAGTAGGTGAGAGAGATATGGACAGAAAGATGGGATAGTTAGAGAGAGAGTGAGAGAACTTAGTTGGTGAGACAGTCAGTGCACAAAGGGACAGTTATTGAGTGTGAGAGAAAGTCTGGATGGTCAGTGAAAGAAAATGCAAGTAACAGCTGGCATACGAAAAAGTGCATGTGAGAGAGTGCAAGAGGAAAGAGAGATGCACACAACAGCAACAGTGAACGTCAAAGATAAAACATTTTTTTAAAAAACACAGAAACAAGAGGTAAAAGTGAATTCTGTACCTTTGTTTCTGAGTTTTGGAAACTTTCTTCTCCTCTTCCAGCCTGCGGCGTGCTTCTTCTAGTTGAGCAAGTGTGTTTGGTGGTGGAAGTGGAGGCATTGCCGGGTCCTGAATGAAGGGGTGGGATGGCTGAACAATGCCCCTCTGATGGGTACTGCCAACATGTTGACGATTGGTACGCTCAGTTGCATTTCCTCTCGGGCATTCAGTGACACTTCCTCTCTTCATACATTGGACACTATAGAGAGAATTGTTTATTATGCCCCAGTTGCAATCAATTGTCAGTAACCTACTCTCCCCCTCATTCTTCACATACATTTGTGGGAAGGTGATGGCCTAGTGGTATTTTCGCTGGACTGTTGATCCAGAGACACAGATAATGTTCTGCGAACTGAGTTCGAATCCCACCTAGGTAGATGGTGGAATTTGAATCCAATGAAACAAAAACTGAATTAAGAATCTAATGCTGACTGTGAATCCATTGCTGATTGTCGGAAAAACCCCTCTCGTTCAATAATGTCCTTTAGAAAAGGAAACTGCCATTCCTACCTGACCCACAGTAATGCGGTTGACTCTTAACTGCCCTCTGGGATGGATAATAAATGCTGCCTGGCCATTGATGCCCTCATCCCGTGAATGAATAATGAATAAAGAGCTTAAACCAGTTTGAACCCTAGAAGTCAAGTGGTCTGGGGAGCCATTCATGTTCCTTCCTGATCTGACCATTTTCAAGCCTGTATTTCCGTGCAAGAGCCTATGGGTGACACATGTAGGATCTTTCTGCTCCTTAAACAATAGCAAGACCAAGATCTTCAGCTGGGGACAGTTTCTCTGTCAAACCTGACACCTTCTGCTCATTGCCCTCCCTTGACTTTTTGTTTCCAGCCAACTGGAATGTGAATTTGCAATCAACATGAAAATATTTTCTCTTTTTATACTCAATGTGCAAAATTGCAAAACCCAGGACATTCATTTCGTCTTACAAAGAAACAATCTAAATACTTCAGGGTAATGGCTCTCACAGGTGATAAGAGGAACATCACACATAGCTTGACACCATTCCACCAACACATCCAAGTGCTCCCTCCTCAACATGATTCCACTAATGCACAGCACCCACCAATGACACTGTTCCACTGTTGCACTCACTCCCAACCCTGACACTGTTGCACTAACACACCATAGCTCCCCCAACATCTTTACTGACACACACTACCTCATTACACAAACACATATACTGATGTCTGCATGTGCTCATCTGCACAGTACAAAGCAAGAATTCAAAGAAGTAGTTCCATCTTTACCTGTGGGACCTCTGTTTGTTGGGTTGTCGTTCACTCTCCAACATCCACTGCCACACATTCTGTGTCCGGTCTGTCTCTTCACAGGGGAGCTGGGGACTGGAAAGAGGCAGAGCTCCCTCACTGGGAATTGGGCTGACACAGTCCATCACCTGTGTGCTCCTCCTGGCCAGAGTACTGTTCTTACTGCTGACAGTCAAACAAACAAACAAACAAACGAGGGAAAAAGTCAGTCAGTGGAAAGCTTTTAATTTCTGCTATTTAAAATGCGAGGACTACCTGCACCCCCACTTAACTTCACTCTCTGCTTCTCCTTAAGATACTCCCAGACACACATGCAGGTACAGATCGAGAGGTCCCCACCTACCCAGTAGCACACAGGACAATAGCGTGTAGCCTCAGGTACGATGCAGTGTCTCAGTGCAATCCACAAATTTAACTCCAGGATTCACTGGGTCTTGTTTCCCCACCTCCCTACCCACAAACCAGAGACACATGCAGTTGGTTACCAGCCTCCCAGGGCCCACAGCTCTTCCTGGGTCAAAAAGTTGGGAAAACTGCACTAGGAGAAGGCCATTCAGCTCTTTCAGCTTGTTCAGCATCATTCATAGTGATCATGTCACAGACTCCTAACCACCCAAGTTTTGCAGTAGCTGTTTGGTACCTTGTGTGTTGTATGAGAAGGCAACGAGGGTCAAGAATTGAGACCTCTATTGTGGACAGTCAGCACTAATGCCAATAATGCCCATGGTGAGGCCTCCAAGGACATTAACTGTTACTGAACTATAATAGCCACACCTCTCAATAACCATGTAAATGGACAAATTATGAGCCTCATTTCCCAAACAAGTCAGGGCCCGTTGTGAGTTGGCAGCTCACTGTGGCACCACCACTAGCACCATCACTGACAGCTCCCCCACCCTGAGAAACAGTGACAGAACTGTGGAGGGACAGGGCCCAGGGACAGAGCTTCATAGCAGTATCATCTATAAGCAGCCATCAGAACAGCATGGTCAATGTTGGCCATAGTTACAAATGTGTGTGGGCCACAGATTAAATACAGTTTTGTGCAGCCACTGAAAACAGTCACAACTACGAGGAGCTTGAACAGTTCATCCACTTCACTAACATCTTCCACCCCAACCTTAAGTTCACCTGGACCATCTCGGATACCTCTCTCCCCTTCCTGGACATCTGTCTCCATCTCTGGCATCCACCTGGAAACCGATATCCATTTCAAGCCTACCGACTCTCACAGCTACCTAGAATACACCTCCTCTCACCCACCTTCCTGCAAAAAATGCCATCCCCTATTCCCAATTCCTTCTCCTCTGCCGCATCTGCTCCCGAGATGAGGCATTCCACTCCCGGACATCCCAGATGTCCTTGTTTTTCGAGGACCGCAACTTCCCCTCCACAGTGGGAGAAAATGCCCTCGACCGTGTCTCTCGCATTTCCCACAACTCATCCCTCACACCCCCTACCCGCAATAACAACCAAAACAGAATCCCGCCTCGTTCTCACATACCACCCCACCAACCTCCGAATCCAACGCACCATCCTCCGACACTTCCGCCATCTGCAATCTGACCCCACTACCAGAGATATTTTTCCCTCCCCACCCTTATCTGCTTTCCGGAGGGACCACTTCTCCGTGACTGCCTTGTCCGCTCCATATTCCCTACCACCCCCGGCACTTTTCCCTGCAACCACAGGAAGTGCTACACCTGCCCCTACACCTCCCCCCTCACCCCCATCCCAGGCCCTAAGAAGACCTTCCACATCAAACAGATGTTCACCTGCACATCTGCTAATGTGGTATACTGTATCCGCTGTTCCCGTTGTGGCCTCCTCTACATTGGGGAAACCAAGCAGAGGCTTGGGGACTGCTTTGCGGAACATCTATGCTCGGTTCGCAACAAACAACGGCACCTCCCAGTCATGAACCAGTTCAACTCCCCCTCCCACTCCTTGGACAACGACATGTCCATCCTGGGCCTCTTGCATTGCCACAAATGATGCCACCCGAAAGCTGCAGGAACAGCATTTCATATTTCGCTTGGGAACCCTGCAGCCCAAGGGTATCAATGTAGACTTCACAAGCTTCAAAAGCTCCCCTCCCCCAACTGCATCCCAAAACCAGCCCAGCTCGTCCCTGCCTCCCTAACTATTCCTCCCACCTCAAGCCCCACCCCCATCTCCTACCCACTAACCTCATCCCGCCTCCTTGACCTGTCCCCTCCCTAACTCCCCACCTACATTCACCTTTATTGGCTCCAACCCCGCCTCTTTGACCTGTTTGTCTCCTCTCCACCTATCTTCTCCTTTATCCGTCTTCTATCCGCCTCCCCCTCTCTCCCTATTTATTTCAGAATCCCCTTCCCCTCCCCCATTTCTGAAGAAGGGTCTCGACCCGAAACGTCAGCTTTCCTGCTCCTCTGATGCTGCTTGGCCTGCTGTGTTCATCCAGCTCTACACCTTGTTATCTCACAACTACTTCATAGTCTGTTTGATAGAAATAATTAACATAATTACAGAATATCTTGCATGTTTACACTCCTTGGTGTTTGCAACGTGTTGCTGAGTGTTCCTGATGGAGAGACCAGCAAATCCCATTTTCCAACCCTTTCTGTGCCAGTCTCTGCTGGATTTGGCACTAGACCGAGCTGTAATTGGCCTCAGTGCCTCCGAGTTAGGGGACAGATGGAATAAAAATACATCAGCATAACTCCATCCTGGACAACATGCTCACATCTTGGCAAAGAGGCTAAACTGTGATTCACGGCCTGGTTAAGCAGCCGACCGATTCACTATGCTGATTTCTGTGTATGCAGGGTCTGAGTAGGAGAGGGAGCCTGCTTTCCCTCAAGGCAGATTTTTAAAAAAAATTTAAAAAAAGAAAAAGATGAGAACTTACCCAAAGGGAAACTGTTCCACTTGATGTCCCGACATTTCAACCTTGGGGTGAACACTTCGAAATTTGGTGTAGGAACAAAAGTCTGTGCTGTTTGGACAGAGACACTGCACTTTATGAGCAGCCTCGGTTTCAATCTGTTCCTTTGTCTTGGGAACAGCGTGATGGTGAATGTAATGATGGTGGACGTACTTGGTACCCTGTTTGGAGACACACCCTTTGTTGGGAACACCTGGAGCTGCCGTTTGGGTCCCCAGGGCCATTTGAAACTTTGCCCCTCGGAGACAGTCTGGTGTCTGGGAGGGAGGAGAATATCGGCCCACACCTGGCGATTGGCAGCCTGGGGTTTTCAGTACTCGTGACAAGTGGTCATCCAAAATGGTCTGGGGGTCGTCGTCACAGCTTCCAGAGGGCAGGAGGGCCAGTGGCTGCAGCTGATGCTGGGGGACTATGGGTTCCATCTCTGTCTGTGTTGTTATTGTGGGAAGCTCACAATCTTCACCTTCATCCTGTCATCAAACAGAAATGGACATCTTGTATTCACCGAGCGTACAAAAATAATTGCAACAACACAACATGTTCCCTGCAACTGACAATCCTCAACCCTCCAAATGACTTACTGAATCGTTACAAGTGCAGAAGACAGACACTCGGCCCATGTTTGTGTCAGGTCTCCAAATGGGCATCGCACCTTGCGCCTTCTTGGAAGCAAGTACATTCTTCTTTTTCAAATAACTATTTAATTTCCTTTTGAAAATCTGATAGAAGCAGGTTCAATCACACTCTCGGGCAGTATTTCCCTGACCCTATCCACTCACTGTGTGAAGGGGTTTCTCAACATTTTTGTTTCTTTTGCTAATCACCTTAAATCTGTGCTGTCTCAGTGCTGATCCTTTCAAAAGTGGGAACAGTTTCTCATTTACTCTGTCTGGGGATTTCTCACTCCAGAAACTCAGATGCCTCCAGAGCCTCCCTTCACCAGTTCGGCAACTCTTCCCTGCAGCGTCACCTCTTGCTCTCTTCTACCCACCTTTCACCAACAGCCAATTTCAAATGGTCCACTTAAAGCTGCTCATTTTAAGCCAATTTCCTGGTTGGGAATCCCCTGAAATCACACACACATGTCCTATTTTCAAGGCAGCACAGACCGAAAGAGGGTGGGGTGTAAACTCAGTGTGCTTTGCTAATACAGGCAGGTGGTATAGATTATAACTACTCCCCCTTTCAGTGTGCAGAGCCAGATAAACATAGACCCCCTGCCCTAGAAAGGGGCAAGTGCTTTGACATGAGCCTATGATTATAATGTAAGCACTTCATCACTGCAACCAAATTGCTCTAATTTCCAACCATCATCAAAAGGGACTGAGGGACAACACTGTCTGATCAAACTGACCAAAACAAGGGATCTAAAAAAAAATCAAGCTACACTGAGATGAGTACAATGTTTAATGCAGTACTATGTGCTAGATGCATTTTAAAATGCAAATCTGTCATGCTGTTCTCAGTCTGTCTTGGGGACTGCAAGTTTCTAGAGATTAAAATTAAAACAACTTTCTCTTCTCCTGCCCCACCCACAAGCTCTAAGTGGTAGCAATCCCTACCTCTTTGATCTGCTGTAGTCTCTCCTCCAAACTGTCCATGGTGTCTCGCTCCCGCTTGAGCTTCTCCAGTCGAGAGATGAGCTGAGTGGCGAAGGCTGCTGGGTCCACAGGCGTCATCTCCTTCGGAAGGCGATGAGTTCTCTACATGAAGAAAAAGCATAACAGATAGACGACATTTAGCTGTCCGTCCTTCAGCTTGCACATGTTGGGGAAAAGGTGGAGCAGATAGAGTACACTGGACAGGAGAAAGAAAAAGTGAGAGCGAGAGAGCGAGAGCATGTGAAAGGAAGGATGAGAGACAGACAATGAAAGAGTGAGAAGAGAACGTCAAAAGACCAGGAGACAAAAAGGAGGGGGAGATCGCCAGCGAGGAAGAAAACAGAAGCGATGTTTTTGTCTTTTCCTTTTAAATGCGTGTGTGTCTTTGGGTAAAGCTAGTTTCTCTGCTCATTGCAAAGAGCTGGGGATTTTATGTGCTTCTTACAGTGGCCTCATGGAGCGACATCCTTCCCAGCGGCTCTGGCCTAGGGCGAGAGCACTCAGTTGTCCTGCTCATTCCCTCTGTAGTACAACCAGCTCATCAGTAGCTTCAGAGTCTCGAGCTTCTTCAAAGACAGTGTTGTCTAACATCAAAAAACATGAAGGTGGGAGGGAAGAATCTTTAACTGAAGTGGGTTATAAACAGAAAATGAAAATTAAAAAAAAAAGATGGAGGGAAGATGGAGTCAACGGGTGCAGATCAGAGAAAACGTGGTAATTTATTTCCTGGCTGCACGCTGAGTAGCTTTGAGGATCTGTTGGCTCAACAGCTCCTGTGTTCTTTTTCACTCCCTCACTCTTCACTTCTGTCTTCTTTGTGCAGCGTGAAGAGAATCAGCTGCAGGCTACTTTTGCTACACTGCTGGGCTCGGCTGCCTAAAGCTGCAGCTATCAGGGGAGAAGGGAGGCTGTGAATCAGGAGCAGAGAATCACAAGACAAGGCAAAGCATGGCACGGCCTGTACCAGTGTCAACAAACATGAGAGGGGGGACAGCGGTGGGGGGGGGGGGGGGGGGGGGAGAAAGAGAGAGAGAGAGAGAAAACGAAAACAAGAAAGAGAGAATAAACTATCCCTCCTTTCCATCCATCTCTCTGCACCACCCCCTACCTCTGCTCTCATCGTTTTAAGCTGGACACCGTACCCACCCAATGAAGCAAAAAAGCCTTCTCTAAGGCAACCGCACAGCAGCAGCAATGATGCGAGGGGCAGAGAAAGGAGTCGCTCTGTTGGAAGTTGTCACTTTACACACTAGCTGTCTTCTATTCAGCTCCTGATCAAAGCACAGCCTGGCAGAGAATGTCGATTGGGGAGCCCCAGGACAAAATAATCTCATTTACAAGCTCGGGCAGTAGAACTTGTGTTGTTTCCAATTTTTTGTAGGGGGGAAACAACATATTTTGGAGACAACAGTTTGCAAGCCCTTTGAAAGAGATTGTGTTTTTTTTTCCTTGGTTAGTAAGATATGAAAGCTCACTGCAGCAAGAAAGCTATACAAGGCTTGATGATGTGCAATGGCAATCTGTTCACCACACAGGCACACCTTGGTCTAGTACCAGATACAGGGGCCATCTGAACTGTCCAAAGTAACTACAAGGCAGCATGTTGCATGCTGCTGTTAAAAGACAATTTAAAAAAAAATAGGCATAATTAGAAGAGATAGTTCTCCCCAAATGTAGTGCATAGTGACCCACTCTGGACCTCAGGACCAAAGTGAAATTGCATGCAATTATTTTTCATGTGCTACCATTTCTTGCGGTGGCTAGTGTCAGCAGAGCCTGATTGTACATTCACCTTACATGTGTAAATACATGCACCCACACCCAGGATTCCAGGAGTCAGAGGTAGAGCCCAATCATCAATACTGGATCCTGTTCTAGTCACCCAGTTATAGGAAGGATATTATTAAGCTGGAGAGGGTTCAGAACAGATTTAGCAGGATGTTGCTGGGTATGCAAGGCTGGATAGGCTGGGACCTTTCTCACTGGAGTGTGGGAGGTTGAGAGGCTACCTTATAAAAGTTTATAAAATAATGAGGGGTAAAGATAGAGTTAGAGTTAATGGTAGTTGTCTTTTCCCTGGGATGAGGGATTTCAAAGATTAGGGGGCACATTTTTAAAAGAGGAGAGGAGATTTTAAAAAAAAGACATGAGGGCCAAATTTTTTTTTGAAACAGAGGGTGATTTGCACGCGGAATAAACTTCGAGGAACTGGTGGATGTGGGTAAAATTACGATGTTTAAAAGACATTTAGATAATTTCATGAATGGGAAAGATTCAGAGGGATATGGGCCAGCAGCAGGCAGGTGGGACTAGTTCAGTTTGGTATTACATTCGGCATGGACTGGTTGGACCAAAGGGTCTGCTACCGTGCTGTATGACTATCAGCTCACTCACCTGTGATTATGGACTGAAAGGGGTACACTACTATTGAGAGATTCAGCATCATGCTAACACCTGCCAATCAGATTACAAAGTAGGGACTTCAGGTTGAATTCTGGTTTGGTTTCCCACCCAGTGCCAACCTCAAGCAGTGAACAATCCACAAACACACAAGGGCTCGGCTGTGAGTATCTCCTAGAATGGATCCAAGGGATACCCCAGGGAGATCTGAAATCAAGGTTATTTAGTTTGAATGAGATCAGAGCAATGAATTTGTTGCAGCGTCCTAGTCTGGTGGAACTGGTCAGAAAAGACATTAATACATACACAAACAGCCCAAATGCTCCACTGTGAACAAAGCTTCGTAAATTGTGGGTGGTGGATCTTAGTGGGATCACCAGTCAAACTTTTCCAGTCGTGAGTTCAGAGGCTGCAGTGGGCTACATGAGACGCTGACTGGTTGTAGCTCCTTTAAATCCTTGAAGCTTTCTCGCCCCCCCGGCCAAAACCAGGCATGGCCTAATAACCTGAATGCTGCCCTCCAAAACCGGGGGGGGGGGGGGAAAAGGGTGGAGGTGTGAGGAGGTAGTGGAAGTTAAGAATGTTTCATTTGGGGAAGAAAAAAAGTCCAGATGAGTCAACCTTCTCCATTCCACTTCCCTCACCCCTTTCACAGGTCTCAACATTCCCTGGACTACTCCTGGGGACTGCTGGTGTCCCCATCCCACCCCCGAGAGTTGTTATGGGTGTCTTTTGTTGGGCACCTTAAGTACAGGGACCAAGAGCTGGAGCTGATGTGGGAGGAGTTTCCAAAACAGTGAGCTGGATTGGAGGAGGGGCTTGCTGAGAGTTACTATTGGACGAGACTTGGTGTTGCACCAGGGCAGCCTTTTGCTGGAAATCCATCTGTCAATCCCAGGCAGGAGCGACAGACAAATAAAGCTTCAAGAAATGTGCTTGTGTGCATATATGCATGCACATGTGTGAATAAAAGGAGGCGGCAGTACTGGATAAAGAAACAATTTTAGACCCATTAACAGAGGAATATTCAACTAACTGGGATCAAGAAAGTTTCAAATCATTGAGGTGAAAATTCCTTGCAAATGATTGTGGAACATCTAGCTTAGGGCTGCACAAGTCCAGTAGATACCATACTTGGAAAAACTGTAATGAATCCACCTATAACGAACACCATCACAATTTTAAGTCAGTGTTGCAGTAAGTAGAATACTCACTGCCTTGATAAAATATTCCAGTTTTTGGATGTACGTATTTCGGTGTGACCTCACCAGTCTATCGAAGATGCATTTAGGGTTTTTCACATGTAGAACTGTCAGTTATTTGAAAAAACAATTTGTACATATTTATGCCTGCATCTTGTACTAATTTAAATACCGTGTTGTCTAGGAAATTAAAGCTTTCCTGTGTGTAGCTTTAAGTTCGATGGGGAGTTGATTATTATTGAGAATATCAGAGGGAAGGCAATGGCCTAATGATATTATTGCTAGACTATTAAGTCAGAAACTCAGCTAATGTTCTGGGGATCTGGGTTTGAATCCCGCCACAGAAGATAGTGGCATTTGAAGTTTGTAAATTGCAGATTTTTTTTATATAAAAAGAATCTACTGATAACCATAAAACCATGTCAATTGTTAGAAAAACCCATCTGGTTCACTAATTTCCTTTAGGGAAGGAAATATATCCCCCTCACCTGGTCTGGCCTACATGGGACTCCAGATCCCACAGCTACGTGATTGACTCTCAACTGCCCTCGGAAATGTCTCAAAGAAACGAAACCAGCTGGATCATTTGGCATCGAACTAGGCACCAGAAAAGACAATGGCAGATACAGCCTTGTCGACTCTGTAATATCCTCCTTACTAATATTTGAGTGACAGTGCCAAAATTGGGAGAGCTGTCCCACAGACTAGTCAAGCAACAGCCTGACAGTCATACTTACAGAATCATACCTTACAGACAATGTCCCAGACATCATTATCACAATTGCTGAATATGTCCTGTCCCATTGGCAGGACAGTCCCAGCAGAGGTGGTGACACAGTGGTATACAGAGTCAGGAGGGAATTGCCCTGGGAGTCCTCAACATTGACTCCAGACTCCATGAAGTCTTGTGGCAAGGACACTCCTGCTGAGTACTACGTACCATCCTCCCTCAGTTGATAAATCAATATTCCTTCATGTTGAGCAACACTTGGAGGAAGCATGGAGGATGGCAAGGGCACAAAATGTACTCTGGGTGGGGGATTTCAATGTCCACCACCAAGAGTGGCTCAGCAGCAGTACTACTGATCGAGCTGGTCCGGTCCTAAAAGGACACAGCTGCTAGACTGAATCAGCAGCAAGTGGTAAGGGAACCAACAAGAGGGAAAAACATACTTGATCTTATCCTTACCAGTCTGCCAGCTGCAGATACTGATCCTGTCATGGACAGATGCAAGACTGACTATGGCACAGTCCTCGTGGAGATAAGATCCCATCTTCACACTGAAAATACCTCCATTGTGTTGTGTGGCACTGTGCTAAATGGGAGACTTCAAACAGATTTACCAACTCAAGACTGAGATCGATGAGCTGCTGCGAGTCATCAACAGCAGAATTGTACCACAGAACAATCTGCAACCTCATGACCTGGTATACCCCCCCACTTAACGATTACCATCAAGCCAGGGGATCAACCCTGGTTCAATGGAGATGCAGGAGGGCATGCTAGGAGCAGCATCAGGCATTCCTGAAAATGAGGTGTCAACCTGGTGAAGCTACAAGCAGGACTACTTGCATGCCA